ATAAAACATGTAGGGGAAAAACTACAACTACCAAATATCAATAGGTGCTTGTAAGATAAAGAATTAATAGTACAACTAAGATCCCATCATATACACAACAAAAGCAAATTTAAAGCTTCCTACATCATAATCTCATTACACAATGAATCTATCTATGCTACTACCAGTAACCCAATTGCACATGACACACTACCAATAAAAAAAAAAGAGGAAATGTACTGAAGATGAAGACAATGACAATGCTACCCAAAAGAGAATTAAGAAAATTAGAGAAATTAAAACTAAAAATAGTATTTATTTAGACTATCATTTTTAGGCTAGCGTTATTACAAAGTTACAAACATTTATTTTAGGGACAATATAATCAATCTCACATATATTATCTTGCATTTATATACTTTAAATTACCGTTTAAATAAATACATTCATTATTTATTTATCTATGCATGAACATCTTCAATATAATATTGCATTAATATACTTTAAAATACTTATTTTAAAATAATCATTGGACATTATTCCAATCACGCAAAGCGCGTAAAAAAACTAGTAACAGAATACACATAAACTTCGTCGCGTCAACTCCCCACACAACTGAACAAAACGACGTTATTTTGGGCAGGTCGGAACGCACGATATAACGATTGATATGCAAACCAATGTTTTATACGGAGTAATCTATTAATTTTACTAATATTTTATATGCGTGAAGCTAAAAAATATATACCCAATATTATTATACTTAATTAATGTTAAAATTTTAATTAGATTAAAATATTTTTTTAAAATAATAGTATATAATATTTTTTTTTGTATTTATATTATATTAAAAGTATAGTTGATCACTTGAATAATAATTATGGCATGGTTAATATTATTAAATAAGAATTTTAGATATTGTAAATTACTAAATATAATTATGATAACATTTAATTAAAATCTAAATTTAAATCAAACTTATTATTTATATTGCTCCAATATATAATATCTACATACATTATTATCATTGAAGAATATAAGAAAAGATATTGTATATACATGTGCGTGGTAATAATAATAAGAAAAGATAGCAGAAGTTATAGTTGTAGGATATTTTTGTCCAAAAAAATTGTATAGTACAACTTTTATAGTATAACTAGTTTTTTAGGCGCATTGCGCGATTGGGATAATGCCCATTGTTTGTTTGTTTTTTTATTTTATTTTATTTTATTTTATTTTAAATAAGTACTTTAAAGTATATCAAGACAAGATTATATTGGAATTGTTCATGCATAGATAATTGAATGTTGAATTTACGTATTTAAATAGGTAATTCTAAGTTTACAAATGCAAGATAATATAGTCAAGATTGATTATAATTGTCAATAAAATAATTGTATAGGTATGGTTGAAACTAAATATGGGACATAAGGGAGAGCAAATAAAAATTAGAGCATAAAATATTAAACATATACTAATATTGAAGAGCTAACTGCTGATGCCAAACAAAGACATTGCGTGGTAGTTTTCCACTTCAAGTTATTGTGTGATTTGAATACACTTTTTGTCAATAAATCCAAAAAGTAGTTAATATGATTAGCTTAATTATATTATTTTTATTTTTTTAAAATTATTATTATTATTATTATTATTATTATTATTATTATTATTATTATTATTATTGTTATTATTGTTATTATTGTTATTATTGTTATTATTGTTATTATTGTTATTATTATTATTATTATTATTATTATTATTATTATTATTATTATTATTATTATCACTAGTAGTTGCCCCCGTGCGATGCACGGCCATGATATTATGGTGCAATATATAAAAAATTGTTATATCGAAGATATAACACCAATAAGGTTTTAGATGTAATAAATATACAAAATATAATTTATTGGTGTTCCATAAACAAAACAATTACACATTATTAAAGATTTCTTTGTAAACTACATTTTGAGTCTTGTTTAAAAGACGTCTAGATTCCCCACAAATTAAGACCTTAAGACTGTCAAGATTACTCACCCCAGAAACTGTTACATATAATTGGTCATGGTTAAAAACTGTTTTTTCAGTAACAAACTAACTTGTGAAAGGGTTTGACCTTGACTTTTGTTGATTGTCATTGCTTATGACAACATAAGTGAAAACTACTTTCTTTGAAATTTAAATAGAAATCTTGGGTCTGAAGGAGTAAAAGATAGCCTTGATATCAACGCATTTGTACCTGCGTTGTTGCCACATTGGATTTGTGCCTCAATAACATGATTTCTCAACTGTGTTACTATCAACCTTGTATCATTGCACAGTCCCAAGGAGTGATCTATATTTCTCAGTAGCATAACTGGAATTCTAACTTTCAAAGTTAAACAGTGGTTGGGGACTCCTAAGCATCTCAAACTGTTTAAATTTTTTTTAAAAAAAAATCAAAACAAACCAATATTTAAAATATTAAAATCATGTTATGTTATTAAAAATATTAATGTTATTAAATTTCATATATAAAAAAAAAACAAATATGAGATTTATTCTTTTATAAATTGTTGTTATAATTTTCATATCATGTTTGTTTGATTGATATGAAATTTTCAAGATACAAATCTCTAAGTGGTCGGAGCTTCTACAATCCAAGTGCTGACTGGGATATCTACGAAAAGCTAAGTGTGGATTCTTCCATTTTGATTTGGGTTTTTACGATTTCCTACCGTTGCTGAGTTTAATTTCTAAGATTTCTACGAAAAGCTAATGTATTTCTTATATATTGTATGTGTAGTGAAGACCGATCCAGTGCATGTAAGATCTGAGTACAGATCTGGTTTTTTCGTGCGCAAATGTGTAGTGAAGATCGATCCAAACCCGACCCATTAGAGATGTGCACAAATGTGAGATCTGTTGTGTCTTTTACATTCCACCACAGACCCCTCTTGCCATCTCGATCAGCTAGCATTCTCTCATCTCTTCTGACCTTCTCTCTAACACTGTCAAATTGTCCGATCTAGACTGGTACCAAGAAAAGTCTTTTAGTATTCCAGCTTTGCAATTAATTTGTCTTTCTTATATATGAATTTTACTTTAATATATTTAGCCAATGCTAACCATTTATTTTCAATAAATGGCATATGATGAAATCTTATTCTGATGCCCATGTCTCACATTATGGCTGAGCTATAGTTGAATGTAGTTCTGTATCCAATACTTAGCAGTTATTTGCAGAAAATGGCATGTGATGAATTCTGATTCTGATGCCCCTGTCTAGCTTTAATTTAGTTATGTAGTTCACTGTTGACTTGTATCAATTTAAATTTGTTTGGTGGTAGCTACAATCTTTGTTTGTAAGTCATCAATTTTTGTTGTTATTAAAATGTTTTTGGTTATTTGTATTACTATTTATTCAATAGATGCCATAGCTAAATGTACTGCTCAAACTGGTTTCATTCCAAGGACATTGCGAGATAGTTTTCACTTCAATTTGTTGTGTGATTTGAATACTCTCTTCAAGTAGTTAATATGATTGTCTTTATTAATTATATTTATATATTTTTTTAATTTTTTCATGGTATTAATAAAATACTTGGTAAATAAATATATAGCATTATTTTGTATTATAACTTTGATATTTAATTTAAAAAATAGTGCACAAAAAAGATAATAGACAATGTAGCGAATATAATTAATTGATGAATTTAAATGTAAAGAATTTTTATGTTGGAGAAAAATAAAGACAATATAACTAATGCAATTATTTTTCTTATTTAATTTATTGATTACGAATAATTTTTTTTTTGAATAAAGACATTGTAGACACATAATTCTAAATTAAAGAAATGCATATGTATTATTTTTTGTTTTAGCTACTAAATTATTATTTAAGTACATGATAACTTAAATTTAGAGTAAAATAGAGTACTAATTATGTCAACTTTAATTAGGATGAGGTTCGAACCTAAGACCTTTCTTATTGAAATCAATGAATAAGTTAACGATGAACTAACAGAAACTAACGGAAAAGATAATATTTAATGGAAAAGTTAACGGATAATCATATTCATTAAGGATAAATTAGAAAAACTTAAGGAAAAATTAAAATTGATTAATCTGAGCAATTCATTTGATTAAAAAATTTGACCTTAATGAATATGATTATCCGTTAAAGCTATAGAACATCTCTGCTTCTCGTTCTTAGCTTCCCCTTTTTCATTTCTCATCTCTGATTTATCTCTCTTCGATTTGTGCTTCTCGTTCTTCATTTCTCCCAAATCTCTTATTGATTTGTCTCTCTCGTTTTGCATCTGTGGTTTTCCTCATTGATCGGTCGTCTATCCGTCATTGATTTTTCTATTACTCTGCATCTTATTCAATCTTAGTATGGAAACCCTACTAAGCATCGAAACGGAAGGATCTAAAGCTAACACTTAGATATGTATTCCTTTCTTCTTCTTTTTTTTTTTTTTTTTTTTTTTTTTTTTTTTTTTTTTTGTGTTTAATTTTTACAATTAATCTAATTCGCTTTTGAGAAATAACTGAATACAAATTGTATTGCATAATAATTAATTTTCAAATTTAACATTAAACAAATTACAATAGGGGATCATCTATATTATAATAGGGGATAAAAAATTCTCAATAAGCAAATTAATAGCGTATGAAAATATATGTTATAAAAATATAATTATATCAGAATTAGACAGCATAATTTTTATTTTTCAACATTAAAAACATCCCGTACCATGGAGTATAAGACTTGTTGGAGTGTACGATTGTAAATCTTGTCTGAAAATTGTATGGCTTTGACGATTGATTTCAGAAGAGATGAAGATCCTAAGATGAAATATTTGTTGTAGATTGTGAGTTCTCATTTTCTAAAAGTTGAATTTTAACATGAGGAAGATATCATTATACATCTCAACATTATAAAATTATATTAAAAATAGAGAGAGAGATTATAATGTCTTCATCTACTTCTACGTGTAATTAGCAGATGAATGGGAGATGAAAAAGAAAAGAAAAAAGGCGGGTGTGGTGGGTATCTCTAGTACATTGAACGAAAGACTCGGCAGATCTAAATTGCTTCTTGTCTCTATCTTCTCTTCTCTGTCTCTTTCGTCTTCTCTACATCCGGCTGAGTCTGGCTACCATCTGTTGAAAACAACATTAATCATATAGTTCTGAATGAGCTTCATCATATAGAAGGCTGGTTCTCGCCAATCTCAGTCGGATCGTCCTCTCTTTCGTACTGTGTGATTGGTTCTTCATTTCTCCTTGCAGTACTCCTCGATCTGAAAGTGTAGTTTTAGATCGGTCGCAATTTGTTTCATTCCTCGATTTTTCTGTTCGGCAATATTCTGGAAACCCGAGTACGAATCGAAACGGAAGGATCTCTGTGTAAGCATAAGAAAATCAAATCCTTGATTTTTTAATTGGTTTAATTCTTGTTTATATGTTTGATTATCTGTGTTTCATTCTGTAAATCGTTGGTGGTTTCATTCATTTCTGTTTTGATTTCGACAATCTAATGTGCATAGATTTAAGTAATTTGTTTTGTAAATGTTTGTAGTGCTTTAAATCACCTGTTCGAACTAAAAAGAGCAACTCAAACATCGAATGAAATCTACCAGATAAGTTATTTTTTTGCCAGGTATCTAATGTGTATAAATCTGTGTTAATTTGTGAAATTCAAATGTTTAATTTTACTCATTTATTATTGTTTGTGTGATTTACATTTTTTTAGACTTCTGATTGAAATCTTCATATACATATCGAAAGGACAAATCACCATACAAAGGGGCAAAATAGCTAAGTTTTGATTTTAGGTTATTTTTTATCTTACTTTTTTTACATTATTCCAGACTAATTCCTGAGGCATAAAGGTAGCAATCTAGCAATTGATTTTCAGTTTGAACATGCTCATGAAGATCCATAGAAATAGGTAGCTTAAAAAATGTTTAGTGCTGATTTTTCTTTTTCCACCAATAACTGTTGATGAAGTAATCTTCCGCATGTCTTTAAGCAGAATTCTGTTTGTAAGGACTGTACAGAATTTTTAATGGTAAAACAACCAAATGTTATTTGCATTGTTAGCATATGTGAATACTGATTGGGCCTTAAAGGGCTGTCATGAATACTCTTTTTGGGAAGAATAAAAGACTTGTTATCTCATTCTGCTTTGAAAACACAAATTTGTCTTTATAAGCCTAATATGATTATTACTTTACTGTCTAGATTGACTAACATTTTGAAATCCAAGAAATGGCAAGTGATGAATCAAATGAGTTCTGATGCCCAGATATGTATCAATACAACTGATTGGTGTTGGAGTGTTAAACATGGCATTAACAACCGAAATATTTGCCACTGTTTCCTTCCAATGGTGGTGTAAAGTAACAGTTTGTGTACAAACTTATTTTGTGATGCATAATATAATAGTGTTTCATGCTTATAATTTCATTTAATTATGCAAAACATTTGCCAAGCAAGGGATTTTTAATATAATAGTGTTGCCTGTTAAGCAGATTTGATTAACTTAGGATTTAAATTTCTGTTAAGCAGATTTGATTAACTTGAAAAACAGATGGTCATAGTGGAAAATTACAGATGGGAAAAGGTAACTTTCAATTGTTTGTATTATCTATGTATAAAGAGTAACCATAAACTTTCAAATCTGTTGAATATCAGTGCATGTTTTCTAAGTATAAGACTTAATACGTTCTTAGATTAGCTTTCATTCAGCTATTGAAATTGATGTGTCCAGTTTATATTTAATCCTAATCTGTGTGAAACTGATTACATTAAAATGTAGCTGGTCATTTGATGGACCACAGCAGATTGGATAATTAAAAACATTTGGTTATTTTGGAAGATTGCAGATTTGGAAAAGGTAAATTTCAATTGTTTATATTATCCCTAGACATTTGCATTGATGATTTTACAGCCTAGATTTGTCCATCCTAGCTAAAATTAATAACAGAAAATCAGTAGGTTTATATGGCCAATTTCTAAATAGATAAAACTAGAATACCAAATTAATGTTCGAATAATTGAGTAATTACATCTACATACAATATTAATGTTTGAATAATGAAATGACCAATACTAAACTATTTGACTAATTATACATGATCTTCCTTAGTAACCACAACCGTAATACCTCAATGTAGTTTAATTCCTGCAATCCAATAAAAGTCAATTTGAACTGCATTTTGAGAGTCCTCTTCACAGTTAGTGAACTGGGTTCCAATAAAATAACCTCATTCTATTGAAACAGTAATAGCAACATCAACACCAAAAAACAACTTAAAAAATATCCAAGAATATAGAATGACCAATAGAGAATATATAAGTACTATTAGCACTGCATACACTTTACCTGCTCTAGTATTTGTTGTTCTGCCTTCTTCACTATTCTGTTTCCTGACTATTGCATACAAAATGAATAGTGGAGCCATTTGAAGATTTTCAAAATCAGAAAATTAGAAAGAAAATTGGATCAAACCTAACTTCAAAGGGAGAATGGTGGTAGAGAATGAATTGAAGATGTCGTACCAAGTATTTATAGAGCCAAGTTTAGAAGGCTAAAATCTACCCAACTTTACGCATGTTTGTATTTGTATTTAGAAGGAATGAAATAGAAGGATTAAAATAGGTTTAAAATTACCTGGACTGAGGTACTCGGACTGAGGCAGACCTTAATGAAGAGCAGCGACCAAACAAAGAAAGAACAAACACGTAGAGGGGAGCCATTTTCAGGCGGAGTAGATGGCAAATAAAGAACAAACACGCAGACCTTAATTCGCAAAATGGCTGGTTAGTAGCCATAATTTATAGAACAGAGTTAAGCTGAAGAGTTCAAATCAGATTTGGAGGATTTAGAATTCCAAGAAAACTCAACAATTACTGAAGAGCAATTATGGGTTTGCACCGGAAAATGAAACGTCAAAATAGAAAAGCTGCAAAGTGTTTTGAATTCATCTCTATTGATATGTATTTATTTAATCTGAGTTTCGATTTTGATATGTATTCGCAATAGTGTATGTATAAAATCATTTAATGCAAACGGTGGCCTTCAACTTGGAACAACTCCCCACAAATTTGGGAAACCTAAAAGGTGGAGCATGACTTAAGTATTTAAGATTAATACAAATACAATTACTGAAAATATAAAGTTAATTAAAAGTATTTGACCGCAATTTTCTAATAGACTTTCAAACTTTTTAGCACAGTACCACAATTGCTAAGCCAGAGATAAACCAAAACTCTTAACTAGATTGTTAGAGTATGGTGCACAGCGGAAATTAAATAAACGATACGGTGTGTGTGTAGATTGTGTCAAGATTATTCTCGTGAGAAGCAAGCAAGAGTAGTAAGTAAAGAAAGCAGTAAAGAACACAAGGCAATTTATAGTGGTTCGCGAGGTGGTGTAATCCTCCTACTCTACTTGCTCTTATCTCCAAGAACAATTCACTATATCCACCACTTCTTGGTTCCAAGATACAATGAATTTCCGTGATCTAGTGCTTTGATCTCCAAGCCCACACTAATCACGCCCAGTGTCACCAACACTGCTGCTTCGGGTTTCACGTCGCCGCGTTACTTTCCCAGGATTTCACGACTCCGCGTTACTTTCCCCCCGTCTTCTACGATCCAGTAGAAACGTATCCTCCGTGATCTAGTGCTTTGATCACAAAGCCTGCACTAATCACGCCCAATGTCTTCCGACACTGCTGCTTCGGATCTCACAACTCCGTGTGACAATCCAGGATTTCACAACTCCGTGTTACTTTCCTCCTTTCCCTTGTTTTGCTCCAAAACAAGTTTTGCCTTGCTTCCAACTTTGAGACTCTGTAGATTATCTTCGATGGTGCGTTGAGTCTCTTGTAGTTGATGAAGATTCTAACACTCTTGGATATTTCTTTTGTAAGCTCTGTATCACTTTGAGTGTTTATCTCACAAAGAATATATCAATTTAAGCTCTTGAGATGGAAAGCTTTTTTTGAGTTTTGTATGCTCTGTTTAGCTTTGTTCTTTTCTCTTGTATTCTTGCTTCTCTTTTTTTTTTTTTCGCCCTTGCTTTCCACTGCTTCAATCTTCATCCTTTTATAGCTGGTAATGAGAATCCGTCCTTTGGAAAGAAACGTTCTCATTTTTGAATTTCTTCTAGCTGTATAGCCTTTTCAGAGGATAAGATAACGTTGCAGATATGTCAGAGATTCTCTGCAAGTTGAGGTAGAAGTTCTCGCAAAAATGGCGTCCCAAAAATATTCATCTGGTGTAGATCACGCCTCTTGGGACTTCATCTTCTTAATTGACTTGGGAAATCTCTTCCCATGTAAAATTCATCCCTTACTATATTTGGAAGTGAAATCTCATCCCTTCCTTGATTTTGCAATTGAAATCTCATCCCTTACTTGATTTGAATTGAAGCGCTACTTGATTTAGAATTGAAACTTCATCCCTTGAATTGAAGCCCTTTGCAAATCTCATCCCATCAAATTGACACTTCTGCCCCAAGGGTGAGATGCGTGAACTTCATCCTTTCAAATTGTATCCCTATATCAATTTTGAGATACTTCATCCCTTCAATTGGAATTACATTCCCTTCGGCTAAACCATCGCCCATACTTCATCTAATGGATTTAAACTTGGCTTTCTTTAAAATATGTGGGATGTGAGATTCAAACTTGTGAACTTGCATATAATATTTCAAGCTTCTTCCAACTCGTCCATATAGCCTTTTGGTTATCATCTTGTTTCACTTGGTGTACTCCTTTCTTTCTATAGATGCTTGATCTTCAAGATAGCTTCATGCAAACTTCAAGTCACGTTCTTTCTTCTTCGGGATTTCTTGAGGGATTTCTTCTTGATTTCTTGAGAGATTTCTTCTTGGATATTTGAGAGATTTCTTCTTCGGATGATAGTCTTCATAACTTGTATACATATTTTCATATGCATACATCTTCCTCTTTTGTTTGCCATTTTCACTAGGCAAATTCTTGATTTTAGGCTTTATATCTTCTTCATCAATTTCCTCAACTAATGAATTTATTTTTCCCTTTCTTGGTCTATGACTCGACTAGTCTAACCAAAATAAAATTGGGGATCTACGATTTACAATATGGCATATCAAAATCTATTACAATTTATTCCTAACAACTTTTTATATGAGTGAAAAACATATGATATATAACAGGAAACAAGTGAAGAAAATGTTTAGTGCAATACAACAAAATCTGATACATTACCCATATAATTACATGGAAATAATGAATTTTGCAACAAAAATAATAATATAGCATTAAAAATGATGTCAAACCAGATATCAAAGGGAAAACTACTCCTGAAAACTATTTATAAAATATCAAAGGGAAAAGAACACAAAAGTGAAGGACAAACCAGATAAGGAAAGTAAATGTTAACACTTGAAAATCATTTTTAACTCTAAAAAAATAATTGAAATCTTAAATATAATATAGTCATATGGTTTGGTGAGCAATTATTATTACAATTATTTTTTTTAATGGTGATGATGATTAATAGTTATTTATATTTATAAATAATTGTTTGGTCTTTAAAGTTCTCCCCCACCCCCTCATCGAGATCACCACCTCTTGTGATGACTCCATGGACGTCCGACATCTTCATTCTCTTGACCCCTAGGCTGCGGTGGGCCTCAATTACAAACTTTATTATTTAGACCTTGACTTCGAACTCATTTGTCTCACCCCTCCTGAAGGCTGAAACCACTAAAGGTTGACCTTGAGTTTGTGAGGTCACTTGTGGGTCCGAGTATTGAGGTCCTTGCCCCGGACCCTGGGGGTAACATGATCGAGCCACCCTGAGCCTCGTTTCTTTGGTGTCCAACTTCTCTCTCTTACCGTGGGTTTCTGTGTTCTCCTCCACCCCCTTCCCCTCCACCACCTTCTCACCCCCTTAAGTGAAGCTTCTCCAATATTGAAATAGCTTCTATAGAAATGCATGAATAAGAGGTGGTAGTCGAGCTGGACGCATAAGAAGACATGGACGGGGTGGACCACCTCCTGTGGAACCTATTGTAGCACCTTCTCCTACTATGGTATCTCCACCTATTGTGTCACCTGCTTCTATTGGTTCACCGACTGATTTGCCGATTACATCACCATCAAACTCTACTGTTCCACCCACATCCTCATCAGTTGCAGGATCATCTATTGGCTGTGATATGCCTACTATTCATATAGAGGATGAGAGGTAAAAATGTGTTATTATGTTAACATTTATGTGTATATATTACTTTTATCTTTATTCATCTCTTATATATGTACAGGTTGATGCCTTCTCATGCATGTTCATCTACAATATAAAAAATATTCATGAAAATGATTCATCCGAATGATATAATTGGAAGAATGTGCCTAATTAGTACAAAGAGTCATACTTTGAGGAATTTAAGGTAAATTTTGACTTTTAATATTTGAAAAGATTTTTAGATTGGTTTACTTGCAAATGCAACTAGAATACTTAGTGTGGGAAATGCTGAGCTAAGAATATGGGTGTTACAAAGATTCATGACTTTAGTTTGGTTTTCCAGTATAATTTTGATTAAGTATTGTTGTTTGCTGAATTCCTGTGGATTTGGGTGCATAAAATTTAGGGTGTTGATTAATTTGCTGGTATCCAATTCTTTATAGAGACCTTTCTTATCAATTACTATAGGCTTCATAGCTTGCAAGATTCATAACTTACTACTGTATTGTGTTTTTAATGCTCATTTGGTTATTCAAGCCTTTTATGGATGGTGTTATTCTAATTTATTAATTGTGTTTTGCTTTAATTTGATGCTTTGTAATGTTACAGAAATTTTACAAGTGGGATGCGTCTATTGACACACAAGTTCACAATGCCTTTTTAGTACAAGCAGGCTCACGCTATTCAGATATGATCTCCAGATTCAAGACGAAACGGACTTCAAATGGGAGGTCAGCTTGTGTAGCTGAAGAAATATGGCGCATTTGGGAGGCATATTGGGATAGGCCAGACGTGAAAGCTAAATCTGAACAAGCACGCAAGAATAGAATGAGTGAGGTGGAAGGACTTGGTACAGGATGTTCTCGACATACTGGGGGATCTAGTTCAGCTATTGAGCATTATCACAAGTTGGTAATACATTTAACTTATAAATTTATTATTTGTATATATTTTACAAGTTAAGTATCATTTTATTCTTTGTGCTTGTTTAATAGCAAGATGAGCTTCAAAAGGAGCCTAATCTGTTTGAGTGCTTCGAGCAAATCCACAAAAAGAAGAATGGTATGTTCGTTGATTCGAGGTCAAAGAGAATCGCTGTAAGTATAACGTAACAATTATATATATTGTTAAATAGATAAACTTTTTACATGCCTTTGTATATATGCCTTTGTATACTTCTTTTATTTTGTAAATATTTTTAATTGTAGGACGAAATACAAGCACGACATGTAGCTGCAACGCAAGAAGCTGAAGGGTCAACTGAGCCACCAAGTATAAACATGTCACAGCTGTATGTGGATGTTGTTGGTGGGGTAAAAAAGCGGCGTATTTATGGCTTAGGGACTAAGGCATCCTCATTTATCAATGAGAATAATTGTGGTTCATCTGCTACTTCACAACTTCGTCAAGATGTAATGAAGGAGATAGTAAGTCAACAGATAGAGACTATGCAAGCTGAGATGGAGGCTAAAATGCAGGCTCAGATTGCAAGTTTGATGGATGAGTTGCGTCGCAATGGAATGTTATCCACGTCTATGCCATCACCTCCAACTACTCAAGTTGAACAATCTGCTAATTCAAATGATGAAAACTTAGGAGATGATTAGCTTTATGTTTATTAATATATTGGTACTGTTGTTATTCTTAATGATTAGATTAACATTATACGAGTACTGTTGTTATTCTTAATGATTAGATTAACATTATACGGCTTTTTACTTTTGTTATTGTTATTTTGTATGAATGTTTTCATATAATATATATTACAATTACAATTATATTATTGGTGTAGTATATTATATGCATATTTTGCAGGTATGCGATATCAATTAGTGGCTAATTTTTTTTTTAATTTTAAAAATTTAATGACGGACATTGATTATCATAATTCCTAGCTAAGTATTTAATATAAAATATAAAATCGTAACGGAATAGTGACAGTGCAATTTCGTAGTTAAACGTAACGATGGATAGTTTTGTCACTAAACCGTAGCTACATGGTATTAAATTTAAATAATAAAAACAAGCTAGCGACGACATATATCCGTCACTACATTGTAGCGACGGAGGATAACGACGGATATTTCCGACACTACATGTAGCGACGGATTATTCCGTCGCTAGTCTGTTGTAAAGGTCGGCACCATTTCATCGTGCTAGGAATTTAGCAACAGATATTTTGTTTGTTAGCGACGGATATTCCGTCGCTACATTTAGCGACGGAAGCTGCCGTCATTATTCCATCGCAAATTTTGACGACCAAACCGTCGCGGGAGACAAATTTAACGACGGATTAGTTTTGTCTAGCGACGAAGATTTCCGTCGCTAAGGGTAGCGACGGAATTAATTCGCGTCGGTAAAATCTAGCGACGCTCATTATAGCGACGGACGAAATCCGTCGCTATATGGTTTAGCGACGGATTTGGCCTGTTTAGCGACGAAAATTATCCGTCGCTATTTTCGTGTTTTTTTGTAGTGGCCAGCTACCATTTCAATGGACATCCTGTGAAACAAAAACTTGATATTGCTGACTTACATGGTACAATGATGATAGAAATATCCTTCACTCAGTGTATTTATACTTACGTGTGAGAGTTATTATTCCAAACATCCCATAGACTTGGCCCAAACATATCTGATAGACTTAATTTCTAGACATTATTTAGAGTAATTTTAGCTAGTGATTTGCATAAATAAATTAAGTTTTAGGGTTAATTATATTATAAATATTATATTTAGTATATGTTACCAGTTTAGACTAGTTTAGATGAGTTTTAATAAATATTAGACTAATGTTGCATTTTTATTAATATATAAAGAAGAGTTCTATTTTATCCATTTTATTAAATTTATTTGTTAGTTTTATTCATTCTATTTTTAATAAGTGTTTTAATATTTAAGTTTAATTGAGTTATTATGTCATTAGTTTATAATTATTTTATTTTATATTATTTTGTTTTGTTTTCTTTTTAGGGATGGGCGCAGCAAAAAGAGAAAAGAAGGGGATAAGTGGAAGGAATTTGTTTTGGTTTTGGACTTTTGGGGACGGCAGAATACAGAGAAAACGGGGGAGAAGATAAAATAAAAAGAAATAGTGGGGGGCGCAGCAGCGGGTTCGGCGAGGAGATTCGGCGAGAAGACTTCATCGCAAGGAATTTTGAGCTTCAATCACAGCTATCATCTCTTAGGCTTGAATTGATTTTCTTCCCTACTTTATTTTGTTTAAGTTTCCATAATGTTATTTCTTGAACATTCTACACATTCAAATATGATTCTTGGCTAGAACTCTTAATTGGGGATTTGGATTAGCCTAGATTAGATTCATTGACTATTTTTCATGTGTTGATTCTTCCAATTTCAGTTTAATAATTGAACTTGATTATATTTATCTTATATATGTATTTTAATTGTGAATTGTGTGACTGGCCATTGCATAATTCTAATGCTAGGGTTCATAAGAAGAACTGCCAGGTGAATTATGAACCTAGAACTCGTAAGATAAACACAATTGACCTAAACTAGACATAGCTTTAGGTATTTGTGGTGATATTTGATTGTTGCTTAATGGGTTTAATTAATGTTGGTGAGATATCGACGGATGATCACAGTTAATTGGATACAACCTAGTAGCTCAACGGAGTATTAGGATATATTTGAAGCAATCATCACTATAGTCTTAAGAATCAATATTTAGGAGAGTTAGTTAATTATCTAATAGGTGAACCCCAAATCCCTAGTCTTCACTCAATTGGAATTTTCTTTGCTTTTAATTCATAAATATTCTTTTTAATTACATTAATACTATTTCTTTGAAATTTTCCTTATCAACAAAATTGTTTATTCAAGATAACAGTTAATAGTGTTCTTCGTGGGATCGATCCTGGAATACTTCAGGAATTTATACTGTGATTGACTCTGTGTGCTTGCAGATTATAACAATCAAGTTTTTGGCGCCGTTGCCGGGGAACACTTTATTAAACTGTTTTCCTTAAAAATTTTCTTTTCAATTTTTTTTTAGGTTGTTAGGTTCGTTATTATTTTATTTTTATTTTTATTTATTTAGTTTTTATTTTTCTTTTTTTATTTCGTTTGTTTATGAACTTAGGGCGTTCACTAAGGCATAAAAACACTGAATTATTCCCTATTGATCTTGAAATTGAGCGTACTTGCAGAAAAAACAGGGTACGAAGGCGGCTTGAAATGGCTGAGAACAATAGAGTGGGTCAGCTAGATGACCCCGTACCACCAATAGTTCCACCTCCTCACAATCAAGCAACTCAACCACGTCTTCGTGACATCCAAAGACCAGTAATAGCTGTTAACCCTTCTTGCATTCAATTATCTGATGCAGCTAGAAATTATGAACTCAAGACTTTCCATCTGAATATGCTCCCAACCTTTAACGGTTTGGGAAGTGAAGATGCTTTGGGTTTCATGCGAGAGCTCTATAGTACGGTACAAACTTTACCTTTGAATAATTTATCTGAGGAAGAGCTTAGAATGAAATGTTTTCCATATTGCATGAGGGGTGATGCTAGGCAGTGGTTGTTAAATTTACCAGAGGGTTCTTTAAGAGCTAGGAATGATGTTTACAATGCTTTCATGTTTAAATATTATTCATCTCAAAAGACAATGGGCTATAGGAGTAGGATATGCACTTTCACTCAAAGAGAGGGTGAATTATTTCATGAAGCATGGGATCGTTTTAAATTGCTTTTGACACAATGTCCACACCATCAATTCCCATTGTTATTGTTGACACAATTCTTTTATGATGGTTTAACTCCTAATTGTCAGTCTCTTGTAGATACTGCTGCAGGTGGATACACAGGTGATAAAAATAGTGATGAATTAGAAGCTATCTATGAGAGCTTAGCTACTAATTCTCGACAAAAGGCAATGAGAGGTCGAAGAGCTGTTGTGCACGAGATTAGCACACAATCTGAGTTGACAACACAAATGGCTAAATTGACTAAACAGATTAACTTGTTGATGACTTGTGATAGTTCGAATAGAGAATTTTGTGCTTATTGCAATACTTATGGTCATAATTCTTCTGTTTGTATGAATGCAGACTCATCACAACCATCTTATGAAGATATCAATTACATGGGATCCAACATGGGTAGGCAACCACCAAGGAATGATCCATTTTCCCAAACCTATAATCCAGGTTGGCGAAACCACCCTAACTTCTTATGGAGAGATCAAGGCAATGCAAGACCAATGGGACCACCCGGATTCCAGCAACAAGGACCATCAGGATTTCTGGATCCAGCAGCAATACAGACCTTTCCAGCAGCCACCTGCACCACAACAGTCTCAACTTCCTGCTCAGGAGAAGAAGCCTCAATTGGAAGAGATGTTCATGCAATACATGGCTAGCCAGGACACGATGATGAAGAAAATGGATGCAAAGATTGATAAGGTTGCTCAGTCCAACCAACCATCTATTCATAATTTAGAGGTGCAAGTAGGTCAGTTGGCTAAATTGGTTGTAGAAAAAGATCGAGGTAAGTTTCCTAGTACCACTGAAATAAACCCTAGGGAAGGAGCTATGGCTGTCACCTTGAGAAGTGGTAAGATGTTGAATGAAACTTTGAAAGAAAAAGAACCCATGAGTGTTGAAAAAGAGAGTGATAAAGAAGAAGAGGAGCAAGTGCCTAAAGAGAATTCTAGTGATCAAAACCTCACTTCCTCTACAGTAAAACCTTATGTACCCCCCATTCCATACCCACAAAGGTTACAAAAGAGGAACCATGACAATAACTTTAAAAGATTTTTAGAGGTTTTTAAAAAATTACAAATTAATATTCCTTTTGCAGAAGCACTTGCTAATATGCCATCTTATGCTAAGTATATTAAGGAAATTGTGTCTAATAAAAAGAAATTGGAAGAGTTTGCAACTGTGCATCTAAATGAGGAGTGTAGTGCTATTCTATAAAGCAAATTACCTCCTAAGCTAATGGATCCAGGAAGTTTTTCGATTCCTTGCACTATTGGTAATACTGTCATTGATAAATGCTTATGTGATCTAGGTGCCAGTATTAACCTTATGCCTTTAACTCTTTTCAAGAAGTTGGAAATAGCTGAAATGAAGCCAACAACAATCTCTCTTCAACTTGCTGATAGATCAGTCAAGTACCCGCTTGGAGTAGTGGAGGATATATTGGTAAAAGTTGGTAAATTTTATTTTCCTGCTGATTTTCTGATTCTTGATATGGGTAGTGATACAGATACATCCCTTATACTTGGTAGGCCATTTTTGTTGACAGGAGGAGTATTAATTGATATGTCGTCAGGGAAATTGATTTTTAGAGTAGGAACAGAAACAGAAGAATTCTCTATCTCTAAAGCTATAAAATTGCATACTTTTGATGAATTATGTCTTTTTGTTGATGTTATTGAGAAACCTTCAAAAGAAGTATTTGTTAAGCATTCACCTAGTGAAACACCATGATGCGTAGTATATTTGCAAACAAATAATACCCAGAGTATTCGGGTAGTCGAACCACATGGAGATGGGGTACTAAATACTAATTACTCGCTTACTTACAAGTGCTAGTCTGATCGAAACTTGATGGTTGATTGGTTGCATAAGATAACG